GGCTGTTCTTCAGTTATTGATTTCTAGTTTAAATCCACTACTGCTTAAAGGCATAATTTCTATTGTTGTAATATTTAGAAACTTGCAGAGGTGTCTTTTAATGCATAGATATGACTTATTTTGGTAAATGCTCCAAATTTGCTTTTAAAAAGAATATGTAGTCTGAAGTTGTTTGTAATACTGCTTTATATATGTTAAGTATGTGAAGGTGGTTAATCATGGAGTCCAGATTCTTATGGATTTTATTGAGTTTTTGTTTGTTTGTTTTATCTGTTACATAGGTGCACGAAAAAATCTCCAACTATGACCATGTACTTCTCTTCTTTTTTGTGCTTTTCAATTTTGTTTCATAGGTTTGATCTTGTTGTTATATGCATAGAAACTAAAAATAGTTAGATTTCTGTTTAATTGACCATTTAAAATATTTTTATTAAAAATTAGCACATAACAGTGGCATAATTTATAGGGTATATTGTGACACTTCATTACATAAGTATATCATGTGTGAGGATCAGAAAGGAGGCTAGCTATCAACTCAGACATTTATTATTTCTTTGTGTTGATAATATTCCAAATTTTACTTTTATAGTTATCCCATTGCGCATTAGAACTTTAAAATTCAAATTGCACCCTTGTACCCATGAATTATCCTCTGTCCACTTTCCTGTCCCCAAACCATTCTTGTGTTCTGATAACAATTCTTTTATCCATTACTTCTATGACGGCAGATTTTTTTTCATTATTTAGAGAATACTTTATTAGTTTCTGTAATCAAACCCATGTAGATATGACCTTACATATTTAGTACAATGTGTTACCACTGTACAAATGGAAAAAAAATAAAAATAAAAAAATTAACATTTCTAGACCAATATGGCTGTCCATTTCTGTACAATGCCAACTCAACACAGTAAATTGGGATAACTTTTTCCAAAGTTGACAGCACAGTTAAAGCTTCCCAAAATTCAATTTATATTTATTTATTTATATTTATATAAAAAGACTAATAATAGCAGTATGTTATGCATTGATAGCAGCAACAGCTTTTCCAGGTTCTGACAGCAGATTTTTAGCTTTCATTTATACACAAGAATATGTGGTACTTGTTTTTCTTTGTCTAACACTTAATTTAAAGTAATATCCATCCTTGTGGCTGTAAATGAAAGAATTTTATTCTTTTTATGGTTGAATAATATTCCATTGTGTATATGTAATATATTTTCTTTATCCATTCATCAACTGATGGTCATGTAGGGTAATTCCATATCTTGGCTACCATGAACAGTGCTGCTATAAACATTCAGGTGCAGATGTCTGATATACTGACTTCATTTCCTAGGATATTAGGATATCCAGTAGTGGGATTTCTGGATCACATAGTAATTTTATTTCTAGTTTTTTTAAAAAAAACTCCATACTGTTTTCCATAATGGCTATAATGTTTTACATTCCTACCAACAATGAACAAGAATTCTACTTTCCCTGCGTCCTCACCAGCATTTTAATTTTATTATTGTCTTTATCATAGTCATTCTTACTAGGATGAGATTTTATTGCACTAAAGTTTTGATTTTAATTTCTCTGAGATTAGTTATTTTGTACATTTTTTCATATACTTATTGGTCATTTGTACAACTTTTGGGAATTATCTTCAAATCATTTACTGACTTTTTAATTCAGAGGAGTATTATTATTTGCTGTTGAGTTCCTAGATATTAATATTTTGGATATTCATCTCTTGCTGGATGAATACTTTGCAAATATTTTCTCCCATTCTGTAGGTTGTCTTTTCACTCTGTTGATTCCTTTTCTCTGCAGAAGCTTTTTAGTTTTATGTAATCCTATTCTCTAGTTTTTGCTTTTGTGTATTTTCAAGTAGACTGTTTTTGACCTCAGTAATTCTTTTGTTTTGTTTATCCTGCCAATAATGCCTTCTAGCACAGCCTGAATTTTTATCTGTGTATTTTTTAGGATTTCTAATAATTGCTTCCATTTCTCTCTCTCTCTCTCTCTCTCTCTCTCTCTTTCTCTCTCTGATACCGGGGATGGAACTCAGGACCTTGCACTTGCAAGGCATGCAGCAGAACCACTCAATCTCTTAAAGATCTTTTAATTCTTAGAGTACTGAAATGTTTCTCTGTTTTTTCTTCAAGCTCATTGAATTTCTTTAAAATGAGTGTTTTAAATTCACTAAGAACTCCTCCATACTGATTACTACCTGATAAGTTTCTGACATCTTATTTTGAGTATTAAGTGAAGTTGTGGTTTCCTGAAAGTTCTTATGCTTGTTGGCATGTGATGTTGTCCTGGCATTAGAGGGTTAGGTGTTTATTCCAGTTTTCCAATTCAGGATTTGTCTGTGCCTGTTTTTCCAGAAATTCTAAGCAGGCTGCTTATTTTCTTTGATCCTATAGTCACTTCCATCCTTCCAGCTTTGGATGGCATACTGGATGGACCAAGCTGCTGGTGGTGTGTTGTCACTGTTTCAGTACTAATTGGTGATCCAATTCTAGGTTTTGCCCAATTAAGCTGTTAGTGAGTTGTTTGGAAGGAAGCAAGTAAGCATTCACACAGAATAGTCATTCCTGCAAGCCTCTCCCTAGGATCAGGGTTGGTCCAGATGACATCCACATTTACTGGCCCCTGGTCAGGCACCATAGGACTCTGCCTGTCTCTAGATAGAGTTACCATGATGGGCCAGCCTCAAACTCACAGGCGTCATGCCTAGGAACACCGATGCCCCCAAGCTGTGTCACATCCTGAGTTCACAGCTTGTCAAGATCAGCAGAGCTCTAGGGTAGGACCAGGGCCTACATTACCAAGGGCTGCCTATTTCTGAGGTGGAGTCATTGGCCAAGATTCCTGCCACATGCAGCCAAAAGTAATGCTAGCTGGAATAAAAGGACACTAGACTAGGACCACATGTCTTCTTTCCGTGGTATTGGAATTGTTACCAAAGCTCCATCCATGGGCATCCTTTTTTTGGCATAGGTATTGGGCTCTGAGGATCTTCCCAGGGTTAGGTTTCACCAGTCCAGCACTAAATTCTAGGGTAAAGTCCTACCCCTAGTGAATGGAGTCTAGCTCCATCCTATACTACCTAAAGTTGGGGAAGAGTTTGTGAAGACAGACTCTTGGCCACCAGGGCTAATGCAAACATGGGTCCTACTTGAGTCTCTCAGCCCCAGGATGCACAAATGCCCATAACACAGGTGGTGGAGATGCAAACTGAAACATGAGTTTGTTCCCCTGGTGCATAAATCTCCACCTAATGCTAAGGTTGGTGTGGAGAGGTGATGGTGAAAATTTAGAGACTGAATGCTCAAACTGCAACCCAAACCCACTTATTATCACCAAACGCCAATATTGCAATTAAACCTGAATGCTTGGCTGATAGGGCAACTTAGCCTGCATGTCAACAAAGAGGGCCCTCTGTGGCATGTGTGCCCTAGGTTTGCCATCACTGGTCTAGAGGCCCTGTGAGTGCATATAAGACCTTCAGTTTCTGCCAGATGCTGACCTTTGCCATGGCAGGCTTAATGCTGAGCTCCAAGACAAAGCCTTGTATTAGCTTTCATGCCTAGCTCCTTAGAAGGTGTTCCTGTTCCCTGTTATGCCCACTCAAATTTAGAGGAGGGGTAGTGGAGACAGCCCACCTAGGATGATGCAGTCCAGTGGCTCAGCCTGTGGATATACTGGCCTGGCAGAATGGGCTGTGGGGCTGTGGGTTTCACTGTGGCAGCCATGGTACTGAGTTTTGTGTCCAAGCTTGGTTAACTTGCTCAGCTCCCTGGGCAGGAGATATCTTTCTGTACACTGGGCTGCTTGGAGTTGGAGGATGGGTGATATGGACAACTCCTTTTCTGTCTTCTTCAATAAGTTTTAAAATTTTGTTATAACTAGGTAGTGTGGTCTCTTACATGATTTCCTCAGCTCTTGTAAAAGTAGTTTGGTCCACAAATAACTGCTCATGTTGGTATACCTGTAAGAAGAGGATCACCAGAAGATCTTACTCAGCTGCCATCTTGCTCTGCTTCCCTTGCTCTCCTTTTAGTGTCTGCCGTTTTGGCAGATCCATTAGCATAATTATTCTCCTCCAAACTCCCCCTGGCATTTCCTAACCTGTGCATACAGACTTTTTTCACTTCCTGCAACCACTGGGCCATGCCACACAGCATCCTTGCCAAAAATGGTAACAGGAACTTATACTTTTCTGCCCTGACTGCCCTCAGCCACCCTGGTATGTCACAAGCCCCAATGTCTTTCCCTCTTACCTCGATCTCTAGAGAAGAAAGTGGTGGGGTATGCCTGGAAAGTGTATACTTTTATTTTCTCTTTCTAATTACTCTAATCTTAGGGAACCCCTTGTCCAGGATTCCAGGTCACTAACAAATTGGCCAGCATCAATAAGTAATGCCCACAGTCTAATGTGCCAGATATCGTAAGAGAAGATAATGAATCCAACTCTATTGGAGCCATGAGTTCAGGTTGGAGGATTAGTCTTTTGGGTCTGGCCCCTCTCCACTAGTAGTTGCCTCAGTGTTGCTGGGAGGAAGTCACATGAGACATGGAGTTTATAACATTGTGGTTAAAAATACACTTCTGAAGTCCAAATTGTCTGGATTTCAAGCTCATCATTTTCGCTCTATAGCATGGGCCAGTTACTTAAGTCCTTTCTAACTCAGTTTCTTCACCAATACAATGAGGATTACATCCTCACAGAGTTAAGTAGTTAAAGCATAAAAAGTATTTGAAACCTACCTATCACCTAGTAAGAGATTCTACTTATTATCACAGATCTGTGGGTTCCTTCAGATTAGAGGACAGAGCCTGGGGAGAAGATGATCTAGGTGAGGAAAGTACATTACAGAGTTTTCTTAGGCTCTGGGTTCCTCATGTTTCTCCCCATCTTCTAAGTTCAAGGGAGGTCACAGCCAACTGCCCACCTTGTCCAAGCCTCATATCCTTCCTGCTCCTTCAGCCTGGGTTCTCTTTCCTAGAATGCGCAGATTCTATTGATCCTGTGGTCAGCCTCTCAGGACTGCCTCTCTCGCTACGGCCTCCCCACACACAGATGAAGGAACAGACTCTTGAATGGAGGATGCAGCTGCCCTCATTTGAAAAGTGTAAATTGATACTGAAGTGGAAGAATAAAAATGTGAGCTATACTTCATGTGCCTCAGCGTATTTCAATAACACTCTCGATTTTGAGAGTGAGAACTTGACTCTTCTCATCAAGTCAGCGAAGCCACAGTACAGTGGACTCTACAAACTGGAGCTGACTAATGTGAATGGGACAGTTTCCTGTATCCAGTTCAAGGTCTCTGTATTTGGTGAGTCTCCCAGGATTGTTTATGTTGCCACTCTGATTCCTGTAGGGCTTGTATTTCCAGAACTTTTCTGATCAGAATCTCTGTTTCCAGATCATGTAGAGAAGCCCTGCCTGAAGGAAGAGTGGAAGGCAATGGGTGAAGGAAAATGCCTAGTGAATCTCTTCTGCTTGGGCTCCAGGAATGGCAATGTGAGCTATGCTTGGTACAGAGGGAACGAGAAGATCTCGGCACTGAGAAACCTCTCCCATCTGGTGGTGCATCTCGATGCTAATGAGCTGGACAAATATACCTGCAATGTCAGCAACCCGGCCAGCTGGGCAAGTGAAAGCCTCCACCTTACCCAGGGTTGTCTGGGTGAGTGGGGCACCCTGGGCTATAATGGTGTCTGAAGGCATTAGACTCCATAACCAGGATCATGTTTAGGAGAGACCTTGGTATGAGATCCTTGGATTCCTTTCCTGGTGCCTTACAGCCCTTCCTCAGCAGTGGCCCAGCTCTGGGCATATAGGGGTAGCAGGATGGGGAAATGGAAGACTTGCCTGGCACGTGCTAGGTGTACAATTAATATTTATCGAGTTAAAAACAATGGGTAGACAGAGCAGTTGCTGTGCCAGAAGCGTTACATAGCAGAGCATGGAATTAGCCCCTGTAGACAGATAACATCGTCTTCTTTTTACAGGTGAGAAAACTGAGGCTCAGAGAGTTAAAAGGTCACCCAGAGTTTATTGAAGTATAATCTGTACCAGATCTGTCAGATATTAATGTTAATACTCTTGGCAGCGTTCAGAGGAAGTCATTCAGTTGCGCAGAGGGACAACCTTGATGTGAATTCATAGGGCATGAGATTGGCCATGCCAGGAAGCACAGTGGGTTTTGAGCCACTTCCTGTAGCTGACAGGTAGGAAGCAAGATGACAAGGATTAAGAACTCAGTCCTTGTACCTTCTGTTTCCCCCAGAACCCAGATTTCCACTCTTGTTTGTGGTCATCATGATTCTAGTCACATTGTTTCTTGGAACCCTCACTTGCTTCTTTGTGTGGAAGAGGAAGAGGAAGCAATCACGTAAGTGGAATTTCTTTGAGAGGGTTCTGTAGATCAGATCCAGTGGCTTGGTCCTGTGGGTAGTGGGATATTGCTGGGTGCACAGAATCCCCTTTACTTGGAGAGTGTTGGGATATATGTGTGTATATAGTTGGGTGATGGCTATCAGTAGCAGCAAGGCCCCTTCTCCCCTTTCATGCTTTCTGTAGTGGCTGCTAGTTACAGTCTGATCTCCCGTGTGCAGATTTGTCTGCAGATAGCTGATATGGCTGGGGACTGCCTAACTTAATAGAGGAAGTATTCAGGGGTACTTGCTCCATTCTGCCCTGTGGGAATTCTGGAAGAGAACCAACATGACCCTTTTCTAGAGCAGCTGTTAAGGTCTTGGCCATCTGGGGTACAGATGAGATCTATCAAAAGTGGAGGCCTGGACAGCAGGCCCTTTGGAGGTTTCTGAAGCTCTTATTTTTACTTTCTTCCTCCTACAGAGTCCAGCCCACAGGAACTTCTGACAGTGTATGAAGATGTCAAGGAAATCGGGAGGAATCAAGTAGGGCATGCTAGGGTGTTGGTTTGGAAAATACTGTTTGGAGGATGACCATTAAGAGTAGAGGGACAAAGAGAACTGAACAATTGTCCTTTGAAAGTGATCCTCAGGGCTTCCTCATCTTTTTTTTTTTCCTTCAGTTGCTTACCTTTGGTCACAGAGGAAAAGGGAAAAGGAGAGGGACCAGAGAAAATGAAAGGGAGGCAGAAGGGACACCATGGTTCAAAATTGCCCCTACCAAAGAGGGGTGAATGGCAGCGGTCATCAGGAGAGAGAGGGATGCTGTTGCTGCCTCCCTAAATTGCGCTATGGCTGTCTCAGTTTTGTTCAGTCTCGTCAGCGGGGCTGGGTGCCAAGAGGAGGGCAACCTTCTTGTATTTCTTGTGTCAGAACACAACATCTCATTTCCTTAGCAGATAACAGCTAGTTTTCATGTTTCCCTTAATCATTACTGAGGAGTGTGATCAGCCAAAGCACAACTGTTGTGTAGGTGGCTCAGTGGCCTGTGCTTACAGGCCAAGTCTGGCTGAAGTGCTAGAAAGAGTAAGTAGCCTGGTGGGAAGCCATAGGCAAGAGGGGTGGCACCAAGGAACCTTTCTCATCAGGTGTTTGCAAAGCAGTGGCCAACTCTTCCTGTCATCCAGAGATGTAAAAGAGGAGAAGCTGCAGAGGGGCCCAGATGCCCCCTGTACTGTTTCTGAGCAGGGCAGGATGTGGTAACAGGCCTAGGGGAAAAACCCTGATGGGTCAAGCAATACTGAACTGTCAGTGTGAAGACTGAGGGGGAAGGGAGGAAATGCCTTTTCACTGCCTTGAATGGCCCTCAGCTGGAGGATGCACATGTGGGATTTTCTCTGCTCTAGTCACATGGGTGAGGCTCTGTGAAGCAGGACAGAACAGGCAAACAGCTTCCTTCAGTTGGGAATGAGGGTAGCTCCCCTGGCCTTTTTTATTGTCCCAGCAGTGATAAACGAGGCTGGGAGATCTCTCCCAAGGGAGGCACTGGTGGCCAGGGATGAAAAGTTTCTGATAAAAATTAGGTCTTTGTTTTGTTTTTTAAATAAAATAAATAAGGTCCAAAGTAGCCATGACTATTTTAGTGGCTAAACTGTGGGGCAAAGAAAATCCATTATAACTGCGATTGATACTAGCCCATTCTTTGTCTTTAGCAAGGTTGAACTCCAAGAAAAGGAATTTGAATTTATCCAAGGGACAGTATCTTTCAGATGAGACAGTTGATGAGAATGACATTCCTCCTCTGGAGAATCTTTAAAGGAGAAGGGTTTCTTGATGATGGGCACTCATTCTGGAGTCAGGTGGAATCTCAGAGTCACTTTGATTTGCATAAAAAATGGACATCTTGTGACCACAGTGTTAAGTGAAATAAACCAGACACACAAATTTAAATATTGCCTCATTTCTCTTATATGAGAAACCCAAAGTATAAATAAATTAAAAAGCAAAATAAAAGGTTAAGTAGTAGGAGACAGGGAGATTGATCTTTTGCAAATGGGGAAAGAATCAAGAATGGATGAATGTAATTATTATATATTGCAAACATATATTAATAAAAATAAAAATTAAAAAAAAGAAGTTTACCTGGCCTGAAGGACACTTAATTCAGGTTCAGAGAAGGAAGGCCTGTTGCCAAAGGGAGGCATTGAGATGTTGAATAAAAAGCCCTGGAATCCTACTTCTATTGTGTGTACACCACACCAACTTGAGCTTTTTACCCTTTGTAGCCTCATCTGTGGTGGGGGGTAAATTATGGTCATTCCTGTCTTATAGGAGTCATATATGAAAAAGGAGAAAATATATATTCAAAATAAATGCTCAACAAATAGTAGCTACTGTTAATAACAGAGTGGGACTGGCATTTATGTCGATGGGTTTTGCAAGCTATCTCATCCAGGATTCTTTTAACTAATACCTAAAGCCTCTGCCTAGGCAGGGTTAGGACAGAGGGATAGAAGAGGCGAGCTCTCTAACGCTGTGCTGGATCAATGCTTCTGAAAAATCTTTCATTTCTTTTTTCACTAGTATTCTGATTCCACACTGCCATCGCAAGAAACTTCTGTTACCTTATACTCAGTAATACAGGTGTCCCAGAAGGTGAGTCTCCTTTTGCGGGTTGCTATGGATGCAGACACATGTCTGGCCAGTGCATAGGCAGGCATAGATACTGTGGGTTTGCAGAGAGTGTGTGCATGCTTGGTCCTCGCTCATTTGTATCCCACTAGCTTCTGTTAAATGGTGGTATTTAAATGCTAATGTCTCAAACAGGAGAAATGGCTTTCTGGTTCTGTCAAGAGTTGAAGAACAGCTCTGAGACTCAGAGAATAGTGTATTACAGGGTTTTCTAGGACTTTCTGTTGGAAGCAAAGGACAGGGACAGAAAGGAGGTGCTCTATTTAGGGAGACCCTGAGGTCCTTAGTAGGCCAGATGACATTCTGGAGAGATTTTCAAGGCAGAGAGTAGTTTCTTAGACCCGGAAGAGTGGACTGAACTAGAGAAACTGAATGTTTTCAGGGTTCAAGGTTCTGTCCATTCCTATTTTATAGGCCACTGCTGGTGGAGAGGACCGAGGCAGATAGCATGATCCACTCAAATCCTGCTCCATGCTGAGCTCACAGCTCTCCTGTGCATCTGGAACTACACAGTTAGGCATCCTGGTGCCCATTCTCATACTTTCTACCTGATACAGGAAGGGATTGGAAGGGTGGGATTCTCATGGCTAAAGCCACAGTATGAAGCTATAACATGGCACAAAAGAAGCTGGAAATCTACAGAGCTGTGGAAACCTATACAGGTCAGGAACCATGTGTCGGAAGGAGTTTATGATACGTGTTCAAACTTTGCACTCAACCTCTTTCTAATAAGTCATTTAGCCAACTTGGATCCCACCATGAAAGGTATTTAACTTTACATGCTACAGTGTAATTGCTGTCTAGGACATGAAAATATCCACAGTACTGTTTACATGCTTTGGTGTTACATTGTGAAAATCCTACGTATCACTGAAAGGTCCTCTCAGTTCAAGTAATTCATATAACCACCGTGTTCAAGGAATGTGCTCCGGTTGGCACTATGTACAGTGCCAGAATTGGGTACATTAAGGGAGTGTGTGTGGAAAAGTTACATCTTAGGGCAGTATTTGCATTAGGATTGTTTGAGGGCTGTGTGTGTGTGTGTGCCTGCACTATGAATGTGTATTTGTGTGTGTCTTAGGGGTGTGTGGGCATGGGATACTAATCTCTGACATTGGTTTGGAGATGTCACGTCATATGCCAGTACACACTGTTCTTCCTGGAAACTATAAACACCACTGGTTGCTCCTGGGGCAGATTTTCTTCACTTTCTGGCAAAGGAGATCTCAGGAAGCTTTCTGGGGCCTGAATCTCTTTTGGGACCTTGTGCATCAGCTAGAACTAGAACATCTGTTATCTTGAGGTTAAGCTTTCTTTACTCTTTTAAATTTCCAGGCTAGACTCAAGAAGCAGAACCAAGATCCTTCCTGCAGTTGCACCATCTATGAACAAGTAAGATTCTGGACCTCTCTTTGAGTAGATTAGTTTCTGTAGCATAGCCTTGAAGTACAACCTTGAAGGATATCCTTATGAGAAAGACATATTAATTCGAAATTGTAGGAACTTTAGGCCTCCTCTAATTTGAATCTTCATCTTAGAGTTTAGACACCGAGGCCCCTCAAAATTGAAGATTTTGATGTGACCCAAGGTCATATTATGTATTGAAGTTTAACTTTTATTGGGCAGCTTGGGTTCCAAATTAAGGCTGTTCCCAAGGTAGTTCTCAGGCTATAGGATACAAACTATACCTCTCCTCTTAAAAGTTGTATGTGGGATGGTAGAGAATCAAAGAGGGGAAAATAAGTGAATAAACAATTTTTGTAAATCACAAAGTGATTGGGAATCATTTTAGGATGCAAGCTTCTGCTGAGGGAAACTTGTTTAAAGATGACCCCTGAACCTGGTAACTACCTTGATTCCCATCAACCCATGGAAGAGAAAGAAGGGACTCAGCATTGATTGGAGGTGTATTATATATAAGGCAGCTTACCAGTTTTGTCACATGGATTATCTTATTTAGTACTCACAGAATGTTCTAAGGCAGATAAAATCCATTCTTTGTTTCTCTGTCTCTCTCTGCCCCCACCATGAAGATTCAACCCAGGACCTTGGGTATACTAGGCAAACATTCCACCACTAAGCCACACCCTCAGCTTCCATGCTTTTCATTTATATCCAGAGAAATTAAGGCATGGGGAGTACCTACAGCCATTAGCCATAAAGATGTTGTCTTTGTCTCAAGGGTGGGAGTGGGTAGGTACCCGCCAGGATTCTTAGTACCTCCTGGGGTTTCTTGTCCTTCAGTTATAACCCAACATTGAAGCTAACTGGACAGTGGAGGGTTGTAGTGGGCCCTGTGTGGGCCATATCAATATGAGGGTTCATGATGAGGCATAACATAGTTAAAATGGCACTGTAATTGAGCAGGAAGACCTGGATCCAAGCGCCACCTTTTCTTCATACTAGTTAACCCTGAGTAATTTGTTTTATGCTCTGAATTCCACTTTTAAAATATGTAAAATGGAGATAATAATCCGTACTCCACCAGATCATTGTAAAGATCTTCTAGGGAAGGTCTAAAGTTTCTCCTTTCCTTTCACAGGTTGGAAATAGACCACTTGAGGCCCGTAACACTGCCCGATTGAGTCGCAAAGAGCTCAGGATCTTTGATATTTATTCCTAGTTGCTGTAGCTGTTCTCACTTCTCTCCATGTAAACGTCTGCTTTCAGAATCAGTACTGTGTATGACGCAGCCTGAGTCTCTGTGGAACAGTTCTTAGTCTGCAGAGGATATCGAAGCTTATTCACGACCTATGCTTTATTTTGAAAACGATTGTTGAACAGCCATTACAAGAGCCAGGTTGTTGGATCATATCTCTCAACTTGCAGACCAGACAAGAATGAATGGAGAGGTTGGGTGGGCCACACTCTGAGCACCTGTAATCTATACAGGGTCATTAAGCTGTAGATGCCTGTGCCCTAGTTTTCTAACCTGTTACTTATTTGCTGATCTGCGATGACCTAGAAGCTTCTCTTGCCAAGGCTCACCTTCCAAAGCAAGAGCAAAGAAGACTGATGGTGACTTGGAGGCCGTGAGCTGGTTGGCAGGTTCTCACAGCGGGGACCTAAGCTTCACTCAGACCCAAGGAGAAAACTTCCAACCCTGATCTTACACCGTAAGCTCTGGCCAATTGGTCACAAGAGGAAGTGGGGAAGAGTGAATGCAGGTGGCATAAAAACTAAGGTTATCTTTGAGTAGGAAAATCACCCCAATCCCAGGGTGTCCTGTAACTGGGAAGTGAAATCAGCTGTGTTCACAGTAAGGTGTTTGACTTACAAGGACTCTTTATGGATCCTTCTCTTCTTGGAGACTGGCTAGGTTGGCTTCCTCCTACAGAGAAGTGTAGACAGACCACATTTAAAGCAAGCACCTTTTTCACAGAAGAAGAGGTTTCTCGGGAACCATATCTTACTTCAGTTCTGCCACCTGGAGAGAGAACTCAAACAATTTTGTGCCAAGGAAAAGGCAGTTGGAAAGCAACACTGTTCTGGGCTTCCTGATCTTCAGCCCAGCCTGCTTAGCAAGGTTCTGGGGAGCATGACTGAGACTGGCTGAGCCTGGAAAGGAGAAAAGGGTGAGAGTGAACTGGGAAGGGACTATTAGAGACCCCAACTGGTTATACTGTTAAGAGGCTGCTTCTTCAATTGACCCCACGCTGCACTTAATGTATGCATTTAATTTTAAAAAAACTTTGATGTTACACAGAGGATGTCTAAATCCTTTGCCTAAATTAAATTTATGTATCTTTTCCATAGTGTGCTTTTTTACTCTCTATAGCAGCTAGAGGGCACTTGTGGGCCTTTTATAAACATCTGCTTAAACTCTTCAGGAGAGGGGCCTGGCTTTCCGGTGTCCCCTAGTGTTTTTCACTGTGGGACAGTAGAAAACAGATACCAGGGATCTTTCATCATCACAATGAGTAACCAAGGCACACACCTGCTCATGTCTTGCCTGATCCCTCTCCTCTTGGAGACTGGTCAGGCTGGCTTTCTCCTAGAGAAAGTGCAGACAAATCACATTTTAAAGCAAGTATCCACGGTAAAAATCACATCTGGGGTTCTGAACTGAGTTGCAGAGAGTCAAGATGTTTGGTAAACAAAAGCACCTAGGAACAATGGGGTAGGAGCAGAGCAGATGAGCACTAGAGACACTGACCTGTCAAGTGTCTTGTGCTGTATAGGTCTTGAACTGACCAGGTGTATGCAAAGGCTCAGAAGAAACCCTATGCCTGCAAGGCTTCTTGGGATATTGTTTTCAAGTGTGCTGTGTAGGATGTCACATTATGTGTCAGATTGCTCAGCTTCCATGATAACACCTCACAAAGATAATTATCCATCAAAGGAGATAATGAGCAATCAGCAGTTTAGGTCCTGCTGATGGGGAAACGTTGCCTGAAGCCTTGGGAGCATCTGCTGCACCCCACAGAAGCCATGCTGACTCCAAAGCCACATGGCAGTGGAAGTGGGCTGCCAGGTGGATGTAACACAAACGTACTCTAGAGTATCATGAATGTAACTCCAGGACAGTGCATCTCACAGGCAGGGGGACAGGGCTGCAGCCACAGTCTGGGGAGATGACAGATACTGTGGTTGTTCTGTATTCAGGCTGGCAATAAGGAGAACAAGGAGGAAAGTTTTGTAGGGGCAAATATGGGTGTCTTATATGAAATTTGGTGACAAAGAGTCAAAATTCTCAGCACCCAAACCTCTTTGACAACACACTTCTGGCCATTACATATGGGACAGTCACGAAACACTATACTAACGAGGACAAAAAAACAGCATGAGATAAAAGTAAATACAAAAAAAAAAAAAAACACCTTTTCCTTCCCCAAGCTCATGTGTATCTTTCCTCAAAAGACTAAACATGCAGATACCTTTACCTAAATCTAGGGAGACTTTTTTTGAAGCATAAATGAGAGGCCTTAGTGATTTGCAACTTTGACATATCGTTTTTGTTAAAATACTGGTGTTCCTGAAAGATCAACAGTAACAGGATGCCCTGGAAAACACATTTGTAAGATATGTGCACTTGCCAACTCAGACCCTTTCCAGTGTCCCCAAACTCTCATCCCGACTGCATGATTCCTTCCTTGCAAATTTACCCACTGTCCTTCCTGACAATGTTCTCAGTAATCTAAATAAATTCTTGTCTTTCCAATGTTCTTTGTCTCTTAGTGAACTCTTTTAACTGCCTGCGTCACTGGCTCTCCATATGCCATCAGGCATGGCATGAAAGAGGTATTTTAAGCACTTTTAAGAGTAACACATGTGGTTTAAAAAAATCCAGCAGTACAAAAATTATGCAGTAAAAAAATAAGCCTCCTTCTCAACTTGAGATTTCTAGTTCCTCCCCTGGAGGTAGCCACTGAGAAAGTTTTTTCCTACTTCTTTCCAGAACTTCTCTATGCCTACCTAAGCACACAGACAGACATTTTTTCTAATCCAATTGGTAGCATACAATATACATTGTTCTGGACTTTGTTCTTCACACTCAACAGTGCATTTTAAAGTTTATTCTATATTAGCACATTAGTCTTTGCTTTCTTTACAACTAGTAGGGTGTTACAGCCTGTGCTTGGATGTTCCCCCAAAGCCTCATGCAGTCATAGTTGGGGCTTTTTCAGAAGTGGCTGGATCTAGAGTGTGTGATGTTGGGATTATTTATGATGTAATGCTAGGCTCAAGGGTACTGGAATTAGTTCCCTAAGTAGCCTGGATAAGACATAAAGGATAGAAAGAGCTGTGGTCATCTCTTGTTGCTTTGCTGCCTTCTGTCCATTAGAACTGTTTCTCCTTTTCCATGCCATCCTGCCTTGGAGCCAGCTGATTATGGACTGAACCTCTATAAACTGCGAGCTAAATAAACCTTTCCCCCTTTAACTTTGGGTGTCAGGTATTTTGTCCCAGCAACAAGAGAAGTATTTAAGGCATAAAGTTTGATCCTGTGTGGGTACATTATTCAGTATTTATAGCTAGACTCTCACTAAGGGACATTGAAGTTATTTTCCACTTTTAATTTTAAATAATACTGTACAGAACATAATTTTATGTAGCTCTTTGTGTCCATGTGTGAGAATATCTGTTGGATTTGCTTTCATAGCTGTTCATGAGATGGGTGAAGGATAGTCAGATCCCCTTCAATAACTTCCAACCAGGACTCTAAGGAGCCTGTACCTAAAATATTAATGGGCTTAGGAGGCTGAGGGGAGCGTAGCGGTGAAATCCAGGCATGTTTGAGTCACTGTGGGAAATGCTGCTTTACTTGTCTGTAGGAGCACCAGGATTTACAAGGTCCAGCTACTTTTCCAATCAGAGACGTAGAAGTTTTTTTTTTTTTTTTTCAGGTGAAATTTTGGTAGGTCAAGGTTTCAGAGGACTCCAGAGCATGCTGTGGTGGTGGCACCTCCTGTGAACCAAAAGAATACACATAAATCTGGTTAATAAAGCCTTGAAAGCCACATATTTCTTCAACTCTTTGCTGGTGAGGGAGAAGCAGGAAAGGCCAGGCTGAGGCTCGTACATTCTGCAGAAGTAGTGGCAAGTGGAGCAGCCTTTATGGTCTGTGCTCTTAAGACTGTGCACTGGGTTTCATGTAAGAGCAATACTAGACAGTTTAGTGCAGAAAATCCAGGGGATTGAAAAACAACAGTAAAATGCCTTGCCCTCGAGAAGTTACTGTTGAATGACCCCAGTCTCTGCCCTAGCTGGCGAAGCATGGAAACTTCTCTATAAAGATAATTCAAATGGTAGAGTGTAGGTTCCAAAGCAGTGGACCAGATCATTAGACCTTCATGCTCTAAGGGTTCTGAGGGTTCCTTGTTGGAGGAATGATCAGGGAAGGGACTAAAGAACAAATGAGACCTGACATGATGAAGAATAAACCTTCTTCAAGACAGTATGCAGAGATGTGTGTTAGAAAATAATATCCAAAGTAGGCTTTAGCATCGCCTAATTAAGTGGGCAGCAGCAGCCCTAGGTGACCCAGAACTAGAATTCCTGTCTGGAAAATTTTGATGACAAGGAATGAATCGTCAAGAGCTTGGCTAAGGAAATGCATTGATTTCTGCCTTCACTGTAGGCGAGGGTGGGGTTAAGATCTTAAACCTCGAGCATGCAGGATTCACCAGACATGTGAGTCATGGCCATTCTGAAACTTGGAGCAGAGACTGAGGACCATAACTTTAAGTTTGACACAAACACAGAGGACCAAACTGGAGTGAAAAGGAGCCCTAAGAATGCAATGAACAGTAAAGATCTGGCCTCAAGGCTAAATGTGAAGTCCCTGTCTGGCTAAACATTAATACAACAATCTTGAAGGCAGATGATGGTTGAATTAAATTCCTTATCTAAACAGTGCCTATAGAACACATTCTATCCATTTTGTCAGGTCTAGCTCATATTTCTTTTTTTCGTGAAGCCTCTCCTATCTTCAATGCCTGGAAATCCCTAGGAACTTCACACACCACTTATCAAGTAGACCCATAGTGTTTTCTCTCCCCCTTCAGTTAATTGAATCAACTCCACTCCTTCCCCACTAAAAGATAGATAACAAGTCCTCAAGGACAGGGATGGTATTTTAAACATATCTGAATTACCATAGCACTCAGCTCAGCTCTGGGCAAACAAGAGGTGCTCATATCTGTGGATTGGCTGGCTAGTCAAAGATAAGTAGCGTAAGTGAAAAATTCTGAGTTTTAAAAAAAATTATTCTTGAATGTGTTACAGGGAGGGAATTTGGGAAGAAATTTGAAAGCAAAAGTGTGAATGGAAAAAGTATATTCAGGAAATAAAAAATGGAGTGGACAGCCAGATTCAGATCAATTTTAATTGTTTAGGATTGTTCAAGATTTTCTTTAAATTCCTTATAGTTCTCAGTAACAAAACTTCCAATGGCTATCTTTGTAACAGTAGGCAAAATGAACTTTTCTGACTCCTAACTTCTTGAGCTGTCAAATACAAAAGACATATTTCTAGAGGTGCCACAAGGATCAGAGGAGCACGTGAATGTTTTGTATAAAAGTTATTATGATTATCATTATTACTTTTAGTGGTAAATTTTATTCCTAAGGAATCTTTTCAACACCAATGTTTTGTTTTGTTTTTTTTTTTTGGTACTGGGGATCGAACTCGGGTCATTGTGCTTGCAAGGCAGGCACCAGAACCACTGAGTTAAATCCCTGGCCCTGCACCAATGTATTTTAAAACCAATATATTTTAGTTAATGCATTTTCTTGACATTAAATTATTGGCCGATTTCCAAATTATTTTGAGAAGTCACCCTTTTTTGGATTAGGGTAAAGATTATCATATATATACATGTATAAACATGTATAAGACACAGTGTTTAAGTTTATAGTCTTTCATTCTGGAATAATTAGCAAGAAATATTATTAAATCAGTTATAAGCATAGATGCAAAACAATGCTTTGAAAACACAGATGTAAATCAAGAATGCTTGAGCACATCTGTTGACCATGCAATGTATCAGAAGGGTGCACAGTAGGTAGAATTTAAGTTCTTCAGCCATAGGAATCTAGGAATTTCAATTAAAACAGTCTAAACAATAGTTCTTCCCTTTATGGAGACAGAATAAAATTACTCACCTTCTGAGGTTTCTGAACAGAGCAGTAGATTGTGGCTGAGCTCTCCTCCTGAGGGACTGAGGTCTTTCTCTAAAACAGACCATTTCAGACCAGCTTTAATCACCAAATGAGTTTTCACAGTTTCACACTCAACCTTAAAGAGAGGAAACATCTTACCAGGTTCCAGTCTTATATAGAAAGGGGGAGCTGCTTTGGTCCAATGGGGATACGCCTCTGGATCTGAAATTCCTCTTTGTTTGTTTATTTTTGGTTTTTTTGAGACAGGGTCTCCCTATGTAGTTGAGACTGACCTGGAACTCACTATGTAGCCTAGGCTGGTCTTGAACTCACAGCAATCCTCCTGCCTCAGCCTCCCAAGTGCTGGGATTACAGGCGTGCGCCACCACACCCAGCAGAAATCCTCTTTGTATTAATGGCCCAACAGTGGGAGGTAAGGAATGAATTCCTATATTCCAATGGCCCCAAAGCTCTGGTAACCATGGATAGAGCCACAAGTCCCTGTCTGTATGTCCCTAGTACTGTTCCAACTTCGGACCTCTAATTTGGAGGAATGTATAATCTAGGATATCAGATGCTCCTAGAAGTAGGAGTAGGCAGAGGAAGGTGTATTGACCAGAAGTGCTCACCTGCATAACAGTGAATACTTGCACATGTTCCACATCCTGTTTATCAACAGACTTAACTGCTGTGTAATCTGGAGTGGAGGCTTCATAGCTCCTTTGCCCCTCCGAGGCTAAGTCATATCCAGGATGCTTCCGAGTAATCTTGTCTCTTCCACCGACAGCCAGGTGTACCTTGGTCCTGTCCTCATCCTCCTCAGTTGTGATGCTGCTGTCAGAACTGGTGTCTGAGGTGGATGCAGACTCATGTCTGACAGTGTGAAGGGGAGCGCCCAGCTTTTCATTTCCTTGGGAGAGCATAGTGTATATTGCGTGAGGTGGTGCGGGTTCTGGAACACATTGTGCAGGGTTAACGAAAGTGCCAGTCCTGCCTCTCTCACTTAGCTGCAAGTTCCCAGACTTTTCTTACTTCTACCCCAGATGAGGCAGAGAAGTGGGCAAATTTTGTTCAGAAGAGCATCAGGGTTTAAACTCAGGAGTATCTGACCTCAGAACGCACACACTGGACCACTAGACTGTGTCACCTTTGGACAACAAAGGCCATGAAGAGTCACCGATGGTTTAAGAGTTCAGCTTAGCAAAGTAGTGAGCAAAAAAGGTAGAAAGGAAAAACTTGGGAGGTAACAGCCAGTTCGGAACCCACTCAAGTGTTTTAAGGAAGAAGTAATGAGGAAGAAGAATGTCTGTTAATATATACACTGGTTAAAAAATAAACTTGTAGCCAGGTGTGGGGTGCAACCCTGAAATCCTAGCTGCTCAAAAGGCTAAGGCAGGAGGATTGGAAGTTCGAGCCCAGCCCAGGCAACTTAGTGACTCTGCAGGACCCTATTTTTTTTTTTAAATTAAATAACAAACAGACAAACAAAAATGAGCTGGGAATGCATCTCAGTGAGAAGGCCCTGGGTTGAATCCCCAGTACTGCTAAACAATCTAACCCAAACCAAAACAACCAAATAACAAAGAAACTTGTAGGACAAGATAAAGGGGAACCATCTTTAATCCTCCAGCTTTTATCCATGTCAGCATTGCTAAGATAAAATATTAAATTTAGAAACCAGAGTTCAAAAAAGTGTTATAGATTGCTATAATATATAAGATTAAAGGAACAGCACATGAACACATCACATCACAAAGATATGTATAATTCCTGTAAGTGCATTTAGAGCCTCTGAAAGGATTTAGATGCACATAATGCTTAGCGGTGACTCTGGGAGGAGAGACCTGGAACCTGGAGGTTGCTATCTAGAAGGGTATTTACTTTAAACTATATGTACCATATAAATATAGGACTTTTCAATTAAAAAAATCCATTCAATTAAAAAAGGCATGGTGAGAGCTTGAACTAAGGCAGTGGCAGTGGACCTAGGGTAGTTAGCTGTGGAGAGATTACAGCAACAAGGCTTGGGGGGTGAAAAGAGATGCCACGGAAGAGGAGGGTTGGGGTGATGCTGGTATCCCCAGTCCATCTTTACTGCTCTTCCTCTGCTCAGAGTCCAAGGCAGGAGCACCCTGGCCCAGGGTGCTGAGCGTTTTGTCCTGCAAGGTGTGATGAAGGAGCCCTTGGGGACTCCACGCAACAGCCCCTTCTCATTTCTCAGCCTTTCCTCTTCCGCTACACATTCCCGCTGAAAAAGGCAGCACTGTGAGATCCCTTGACTTCCTCCCCCAACTCCCACCCAGCCCCTCCTCTAATTCTTTCTCATTGGGGAATCCTCTCTAGGAGTGAGGACAAAGGGTTTGGAATGCAGAGCGTGGTGTGAGTGACCCTAGGCACTCCTCAGCATTCCAGAGCTTCAGAGTTCAAGGTGGGTAACTAAGGATACTATGGGATGGGTGTGGGGAAGTAAAAGCAGCAATCTCAGCCCTGCACCCCAGAAAAGTTCCACTTTTGCATGCTTTATGCTGTTGAGGTATTATTTTAAGAAAGTGTTTCTTAGCTTTTCCAAAAACTGTAAAACCACTGTCTCAGTGATGCTGCTGGTAATAGGTGTTTGCACAGTTTCAAGGGGTTTAATTTTAACTAAGTTTTAATTTTGCTTCAGCCACAGATTTATTATTCCATCTGACCTTGGTTTCTTTATTCTTGGGGTAAAGAAAATAAATCCATCTTCATGGTAGGACACATTCAAGAGATGACAGTCGATGCCCCAAGAAACTTGAGGACCCAAGGGCACACTGCCCCTCCCAACTCTGCATACCATCTCTAAGGGGTCTATCATGGTTGAAACTATTGTTCCTAAACCATCTTCCTCTAACTCATTGCTTCCCAAAGTTTTAGGGGCACACAGATCACCTGTGGATCTTGTTAAAATGTAGATTTTAGCTTAGTACTCTGGAGTAGTGCCCAAGATTCTGCATTCCTAACAAGCTCCTAGGTGACACTCCTAGGTAACAAGCTCCTAGGTGACACTCCTAGGTAACACTATGTTGCTGGATAGAAGACCGTACTTTGAGTAGCCAGATTTGGAGATTATATTTTGAGTAGGAGGTTCTATCTGAACTACTTCCTGTGACAATGGTGAAATTACCCTGGGTGTCATCTGGGGCCTCATCTTGGCTGGAACAGCAGACTACAGCTGAACCTGAGAAACCAAGTTAGAGAAGGTGATCAAGGAGGTTGGAAGGAGACACATGTCTGATTCTGTGAGAAAGAAAGGAGTGAAAGGGAGGCTTCTGGAGACTCAGACTGGGAAAGACTTAGGGAAGAGAGTGGGCCCTGATGGGCACACCTGATCACGGGAAGGTGTAACCAGAAACTAAAGTTATTTTCAGCTGAGAGGAAGGCTATGGACCTTCCTACCATCTCTTTGGAAGGGAGAGCTTTAACTCTTCTGTTATAGCCACTAAGTCAGAGTAGTTTTTCTGCTCCAAGCAACTCTCCAGGGGCCTATAGGCTCTAGCCTTCTCTTTCTTTTTAGAAATATCCAATTTCCACTCCAACACTAAGATTCCAGAGGGAGCTACTAATCATGATGGCTCTCTTCTTGGCTATAGTCACAGGACCTTAACCCAGGCCAATTAGAGATATTTCTGACATTTTCCAAATTGGAGTTGTCAGGAAACATCTTTTTGCTGTTTTCTGAATCAGAGCAATTAGTATGTGTGACCCTGAATTAGTTCCTGTGTTGTGGTACATTCTCTCCCTCAGTTACAGCTTGGTCCTTCAGGTGTTGTAATAGCGTTAAGCTGGCTCCAAAAGAATGACAATGGTGAGAGATGGACAGTTTTGGTGATTTCTGAGGCTCTGGTGACATTTGTCAACAAAGGCCAGCTCTGTCATTGCCTTCCCCATGATTGATTGTAACAGCTATAAAATAGATCTTGCTCCCACTCTCTTTTTAACAGGTAAGCTAATTTGAATTGGTTGTAATATGTAATGAAAGGTCTCCATAAACACCCATCCCCGTGTCACTTAGAATAACCGGGTCTTGGAGAGGAAGGGTGGCAAGGAATTCTGTGAGGATAAAGGAGCCTCCAAGATTCCCAGGGAAAGGGCTTGGTGTTGGACAATGTCATTGGTCTAAGAAACTCACCCTGTCTTTTGTGCTTCCAAAAGTACCAGTCAGTGATGATCCCAAGGAACAGGAAGGAAACCAGGAAAGGCCATATCCAAATATTCACATTTACTTCAGGGCCTTTGAAGAGGAAATTAGTACCATAAATATAAATAATGACACTAGATATTGGTGCAAACGAGGGACAGAACATAATGGCCTCTTACCTGACTTAAAATCCCATATATTGCCTGAAATACTTCTTGTCATTCATTCATTCTATAACCATTTTTCAAATCAAGCTTTGTTGTTGGTGAGAGGTTACAGCAGTATGTAAGACAGACACAGTCAGTCCAAGATTTATGGCTTGTCTAGTGTCACAGAGTTTTAAGAATCTGACCTGGGATTTGAATACCAACTGTTGATCCCAAAGTACACTCAACCACAACACTATGTTGCCCCTCTCTGTAAAGGAGATGAAAAGGGATCTGAGTACTTTGGGAGCGTGAGGCAGGAGGATCATAAATTTGAGCCCTGCTTGGCATTTATGGATTTAGCAAGACCTTATCTCAAATTTTAAAAAAGGGGCGGTAGGGAAGTTGCTCGGTGTGAAGGTCCTGGGTTCATTCCCCAGTAATGGTGGGGGGCAACCCATAAGAGGAACTCTAATCTCAAGTTCAAGATAGAAAGAGTCCAGAGTCTTGCCAGGCTGGGCTCTGGATCCATTGCCACATGCAGCCTTATCCGACTTTGTCAGGTCCTGATTAGACCTGATCTATCTTCTGCTTTCCTCTAAAGAAGACCAGAAGATAAAGCTCAGGCTTCCACACCTGTTTTTATTGTGTGACCTTGGGTATTGGGAATTGTGAGTCCATTCCTGGATCTCAGTTTCTTTATCTACGAATGAGAAATGATAAGACTATCTGTCTTGTAGGATTGTTGGAAAGACTGATTGTGCAAAACAGCATAGAGACCCAGACTAGTGCTGGGCATTTTGTAAGAGCAACCAGAGCCCCTTCTCCAGTCCCCACTCAGTTAGACCATGCAGCTTCATGATCTGTGTCCCTTCCCACATCAGCCTCCACTCCGCTCCTCTCCACAGACCTCCCAGAAATGTGGCTAGTGTGACGGAGAAACTAAATTCCTCTTTTTATTTAATTTTAATTCATTTCTATGCGAATGTTAAAATGGCTATTTAATTCTTTCTTGAAATGCTGGTATGTATGTTTAGAACAATATATTTTTTCCACCTGTAAATTTCATAAAATTTCACACAGATCGAATACTTCAGATGAAAATTTAGTATCTTAATTGAGACAAAGTGCAAAATAAAGCCCTTTTAAAAACAATATAAAATAAATTACAGTAAACTGTCTCAAGAATGACTTTTTGGTATCAAATACAAATGCAATGATATTTTGGATATCCTAGGTTAAATAAATATTATTAAAATAATATACTTATTTTTGTTCTTTCTAATGTGGTTATTAGAACACTGAAATTATACATGTGGTTCTCATTATATTTCTATTAAAATGTGTTGCTCTAAAGGACTCACACTCCCTCCCTGACTTTCATAAGGAACCACTCAGGACGCAAACTCTTAGATGCCCTGGGGCCTGAGGAGACAGACGCAGAAAGCAACCTGGACAGGTGTTCCTGATGGGAAACTGGGAAGAGCTGTTGCTGACAGAGTTTCTGGCTGTGCAGGTAAAGATTTGCATGACTTCTCCAGGAAACGATGTGGTATGATCCCTCTGGAGACACAGCAACTCCCTTCTGGAAGGTCCATGTGTACGTCACAGTATCTCCACCATCCTCCACTGAGCAGGTCAGGTTGGCCCTGCAGATGCCGTCCTTGGGGGACAGGGGGCTCCAGGTGATTTTCGGCTTCTTCAGCTTCCCTGTAGGAAGAGAAAAGCAGAGTCAATGTGGAATCAGGCCACCTACTTTATTCGTTCGTGAAGTTGAGGGTAAGTGACGAGGAGCACTGTGGAGAACACCTGGCCTTTTCTTCTCCACCTGTGAAACCTCACGCACCTTGCTTCATCTCTGTGTACTCAGTGATCAGGTCCGCAACATGACAGTTAATGCAAGAATAAAGAAATGAGCCACCTATTGCCATCCGCAGTACTTACAGCTGTGAAAAGTGAGCACCAACAGCATGAATAAGCTCAGTGCTTCCGCATGCACTGAAGGGCCTGCCCAGGCTCATGTTTGGGGTTCCCACTGTCTGACTGGTTTCCTCCCACAACAGAGGGTGTGCGCAGTGAGCCCAGAACAGACAGAGCAAGTGCTCAATGATAAATGTTTCTTTAAAATGCTATTTTAAAAAGAAATTTAATTATTTAAAGACCGCATACTGTTATTTGAATAAAAAGTTATTGAAAAAGAAATAGTAAGACTGGTTCTGGTCTTAGTCTGTTATTACTTTTACTTAATCTTGATGGTTCTTATGGCTTGAGTTCCTATGTGCAGTGAATGTAGACCAACTTGTGCTTTTTAACTGCACCACAGATGGATAGGGAGTCTTCATGGGTACCTAGGCATCAACAAACTCAGGGAAGGGCCATGTGCACCATATCTGAATGGCACAGGGGAAGGAGTGCTTGTTCTGTCTTTGCTGGTGGACTTAAAACATGCAAAGTGTCAAGCCAAATTCCCTCAAGACCCAGGGCTAAGGAGGAAGCATGCACTTCTACCTCCTATACTCGGGGTTGCTGTGTGGTCCATTCTTTCAGAGGACACAGTATATTTGCACACCAAACACTTCCCCTCAGTCTTATCGTATTCCATGCCAGCCAGCTCTACCCCTATTCAAAATGATAGTGATTCCTAAAAGTTCAGGTTGGAGAGTTCTTGGTCCCATCTGAGAATGGGTGCAGGTGAGAGCAAGTGCCAAAAGTTGGATGATCGAGGCCTAACGGAAAGCCTGGGAAGGTGGTTATGATTCTTCTATGAATTCACTGGTAGAAAATGAATAGCTGTCCTAGTGGTCTGAGGCATTTTGGTGTGAAAAGAGGCCTGAAAAGTCAGGTATAGTGGTGCAGGCCTGTAATCACTCTGGGAGTTTGAGGCAGGAAGATTGTAAATTTAAGCCTTGTCCAGGCAATTTAGCAAAACTTAATCTCAAGATAAAAAAAAATTGTGTGTGTGGGGCTAGGAATGTAACTTAGTGAAAAGGCCCAGGGTTTAATCTCCAGTATGGGGAGAGGTGGGGAGAAGGAGAGGGAGGGGGAGGGAAAGGGAGAAGAGAAAAAAGAGAAGAGCAGAGGAGAAGAGAAGAGAAGAGCAGAGCAGAGCAGAGAAGAGGTGTGGTGGAGAAGGAAGCAGAGGAGAAACCTTCCAGGGAAGGAAGCTAAGGCACTCTGCCTAGAGACTTACGGTAGATGAGCAGTGTGACATGTTTCATGCTGGGGACTTCAGAGGCCTCTGAGCACACATAAGCACGGTAGGGGCCAGCATCTTCCATCTTCAGCCGGCTGATCTTCAGGGAGTAGTCCTGGCTGGAGATCGACACTCTGCTCTCATTATGACCCTGGGGCTTAGCGGGCAGATCCGCTGTGGCTGCTTCTTTTTCTTTGCTGATAACAGATGTGTTAAACACCCGGACAACTTTCTTTGTGTCCTGATTGATCAGAGAAGCAAGGTGATCGGCTCTCCTAGGGTCCCCACCACTGTGTCCTCCATTGCTTTTCCTCTGGAGTCTCCTGGATTTATAGTCAGAAACAAGATAGTACAGCTTTAATCACTGTTCCTGCCTCCCCTGGTCCTAAGTCAGTCTGAAGGGGACAGGAGCCCACTCTCCTTCCTCCCTACCCTCTGGCCTTCTCTGAAAATTTCCCGTACCCACCTGTGCCACCATAATCTGACCACTGCACACTCTTCTCTGCCCTTCTGAGGAGACACAGGGGACATCACCTAAACACCTCTTTATCTGCACTCTCTTCCTTTCCAATGCTCTACTCTTAGAGTTCCACAGTGTTCTGGGAGTTCCCAAGGCCTGCCAGTCTCTTTCAGGGCCCCAAATATAGAAAACAAAGAGTCTTTGGGTTTGCCCCATTCCTTCTTTTTCTCATCAGTGTTCTACCAGAATCCTGAGATTTAGATCTCCCAGTTACTCAGATTGTACCATAGCCCCCTGAAAGGCCTAGCTGGAATCCCTTACCTATACAGAACTTCCAGGTATGGACAGGTTGTGGCTGATGGGATTCTGGGCGGTGCAGGTGTACGGCAGGTATGAGTCACAGGACTTTTGGGAGATGGTGAGAATGGAGCCCCCACAGGATTCAGAGGCATAGGGAACCCTTGGAGTCCAGCTGTAGGTTACATCTTTCTCTGCACCCTTCACAGAGCACATCAAGGTGACATTTTAGGAAGCATACTCAGATATGTTCAGAGATACCATGGTGATTTGAGGCTGCTGTAGCCACTCTGTGGGGACAACCACATTGGGAAGGCACTTTCACCAGCAGGAAGAGGCTGACAAAAAAGGTGGTGATGCTAAAGGAGCTAAGGTGTAGGGAGACCAACATTACCTGTTCCTAGGAAGTGGTCTCTGCAGGCCAGACTGAGAGCCTCTCCTTTGCACTTCCATATGACACTGCCCATGGGTGCTGTCACCATGGTTCAACATGAATAGCAGTCGGATTACTTCTCCTCCCCACCCCCTACAGGATGCGAGTTCCTTAAGGCCAGAGGTGACAGCTGTGTCTGAACATCTAACCTCCAACCTGGCCCCTGAAAAATATACATGAGACCTTGGCAGATAAATGGACGAATGAGCCCCAAACACTAGGAACTGTGGCGCTCAGCTTCTAGACTTCGAGGTGCCCTTGCCTGTGGGTCTGAATTTAGGACTTGCTGTGCTTCCAGAACTTCTTCATGGTTTTCTCCTTCCCATTTGTTCCCTCTCTCCTGCTCAGTGAGCGCCTGTGCGAGCGTGTGTGTGTGTAATTAAATTCTATTTCCTTTTTAAAGCAGGAAATACATGTCCATGGTTGGCAGGCTGTAAGGCATAAACAGGATGGCAGAGGGTTATGCAATTGGAAAAGGTGTTCAGCCAATGACAGGCAGGAAGCAAAAAGAGAGGGGAGTACCTGCGGATAAGAATATACCAGGCCGCGTCCCGATGACCCACCCCCAACCAGGCTCCACCTCCTAAGAGCACATTCAGCTACTCAGCTCATCAGTGGATGAATCCATCATTCCCCATGATCCAATCACCTTTCACACATCAAAATTTTAGGGGACGTTGTAGATCTGAACCATAACAGACGGTGTTATGCAACGCATCATGTCCTTCCAAAGCTCTTATGTTCTAGCCTCCAATTATCTCCACATATAACTATATTTGGAGATAGGTCTGTATCTGGAGATAAGTGCAATTAAGTTACAGTGGTGTCATTTAGTAAGCTGCAATACAACATGAGCGGTATCCTTATAAGAAGGGGAGGTGTGAGTACAGGTAACACAGGAAGAAGGACAGCCATGCAGGACATCAAGAGAAGACAATTATCTTTGAAACAAGGAGAAACTTGAGAAGAAATCAAATCTACTGAAGGTCATAGCTCCACAAGGCCCAACAGTGCAAATCCAGCAGGCAAGAATTTAAAGGGAGACAGAGAAAAATAAAAATGAACCAATAACAGGAAAATAACATGACAATGATAAGTCAATACATATCAGTTATAGCCATCAATGTTAACGGCCTCAATTCACCAATCAAAAGAAACAGGCTAGCAGAAGCAAAATCCAACAATATGCAATATACAAGAAACACACCTACTTGAAAAAAAGAAGCTCATAGACTGAAAGTAAAAGGAGGGAATACAGTTTTCCATGCAAGAGGAACTCAGAAAAAAGCAGGCAATGTAAATTTCAAACCAAAGCTAATTAAGAGAGACAAAGAAGGTCACTATATCCTTGTGAAGGGTACAATTCAACAGAAAGAGATGACAATTATAAATACGTATGCACCAAACACTAAAGTCCCCAACTATATAAAACAAATATTAAGGCACATGAAATACCAAGTAAGCACTAATACAATTGTAGTGGGGGACCTCAATACCCCATTGTCACAAATAGATGGATCATCTAGATTAAAAATCAACAACAAAATACTAGAACTGAGCCAAGCTTTTGAACAAATGGACTTAATAGACCTCTACAGAGTGTTCCACCCCACAAAACAAGAATATACATTCTTTTTGCCTGCACATGGGTCATTCTGCAAAATAGACCACATGCTAGCTCACAGAACATGTTTAAACAAATGCAAAGGTATTTAAGTTATCCCCTGTATATTATCAGACCACAGTGCAATTAAACAGATCAATAGCATAAGAAACTGCAAGAACTTCACAAACACAAGGAAATTGAACAACACTCTCTTAAACAGACAATAAGTCACAGCAGAAATTAAAAAAATTAAAGAAGAAATTAGTTTTTACAAATAAAAGATAATGCCGATACAACATACAGGAATCTCTGGGACACAATGAAAGCAGTTCTATGAGGGAAATTCAGAGCAGTGAGTGACCATGCTAGGAAAACAGAATGAGCTCAAATAAACAACTTAATGGTGAATCTTAAGCTCCTAGAAAAAGAAGAGCAAGAGGAACCCAAAGCTCATGCAAGGGAGGAAATTATAAAGATTGAGCAGAAATCAATGCAATAGTGACTAAGAGAACAATACAAAAAAAATAGATGAATCAAAGAGTGTTCTTTTGCTTTTTTGGTTTTTTTGAGACAGGGTCTCACTATGTAGTTGAAACTGACCCAGAACTCACTATGTAGCCCAGGCTGGTCTTGAACTCACAGTGATCCTCCTGCCTCAGCCTCCCGAGTGGTGGGATTTCAGGCGTGTGCCACCACACTCAGTTGAAGAGTTGGTTTTTTGAAAGAATAAATAAAATCGATAAACCCTTAGTTAAACTTATCAAAAAAAAAAAAAAGGAAAGAAAAGGCTCTGCCACGACCACGCCAGTAGAGTCTGTGTGACAATGTCGGTCACCTGGCAAAAACCAGACCAGAGGTATCGTCCCCACGGGGTTAAACCTCCTGGAGGTTCTTGGCACACACCGCATGCAAAGTCAGCTGTGAAGAAAATAGCTGGCCTCTCTGCCTGTAGTTTGGGGACATTGGGTTTATCTATAATTCTGTTTTATTTTGTCTTTATTATTATTTGTTCATTATCTGTAGAATTGTATTCTGGGCAGAAAGGTTAAGAACAATTAGATGTTCCTAGAGATGTGGAGATATTGAGGCACAAGAGGATGGGCGGCCAAAGTACTGACCCTGAGCCCCGGACTGTGAAGTCCTGAAGGTGAACCTGAAGGTAACATGCTAAAGCCAGTCCTTTGTCTTACAAACTTTTCCTTCTGATTGCGTATAGGTGTGGTCTTACCTTGACTCAATGATCTTAACTTTTGTGATGATAAATAGGTGTGGTTTTACCTTGACCTTGTGGTTTTAATTTTTACAGTATTATTGTCTATTTTATGCCTATCTGTGACTGAAATCACTCTTGTGATGTGCCCTTGAAACTAATATATAAACACCTGGAGTTAGAAATAAAATTGCAGCAACATTGGTAAACTTCACCTCGGTGTTGAGTGCTTTTGTCTGACTGTCATCGCCGAACCTGCTCCCACCTTTCAGAGAACCTATATCTCCTCGTGAAATCTCGTGTATGCTGCCCTATGGTCGGTAGCAAGTGGCGCCCGAACAGGGACCTGAAAGATAAGCTTTCTCTTCTCTTTTCTTATATATTTTTTTTTTAGGAGTTTAAGGTCGGCTCTCACTAAGGGATCTGCAGTCCCGCCAATAAAAAAACTGGTTATAAATAAATAATCAAAAAATATGGATCTTTCAAAATCAAAGGGAAGACGTACTTTTGTCTCTGCATTGAGACATATGTTGCGAAAAAGGGGACTAAAAGTCTCCAAGGCTATTGCTAAAAGATTTTATGATTTTATAATAAAGGTTGCCCCTTGGTTCCCAGAGGACGGGGGCTTTACTTTAGAAGATTGAAAGAGATTAAGAAGAAATATGCAAAAATATCTGTCTTCTCATAAAAAGGAGAAGCCTCCACCTCAAACATTCCCGTTATGGATACAAATAAGAGATATCTTATTAAAAAAATCTGATTTAAAATTTTTAATAAAAAAAAACCCCTCAGAACAAGAGGAGGACGAAGCCCCCATAAATAAATGTGGCCCACCAAAGTATAGAGCTACAGGGGATGATCCTGATGATTGGGATCTAGAAGATACAGAAAAATATAAATCAGAAAAATATCACCCTGAAAAATATAATAATCCCCCTTCTCAGATAATGATTCCTGCTCCTATAAAAAAACATGGAAAGCCAATTCCAAAGCCAAGAAGATATTTACCTCCAATAAGATTTCAAGGTGCCATAGCACAGGCTAAGGCAAAAGGGGATATGTCATTTACTTTCCCTATTGTTCTATATGATGATGAGGAACCAATTTACGAAGCTTTACCTTTAAAAACATTAAAAAAATTACAATTGACAATAAAAAGTCTAAGACCATCCGCTCCTTATACTATTCAAATCTTAGAAATGATAGATACTCAATGGCTAACAGTATATGATTAGTTTCAAACTGCTAAGACAACTTTATCCCCAGGAAATTTTGTTCTCTGGAGAACAAAATATGAAGAGACAGCTAAAGAAACAGTTTACAATAGTTTCACAAAAAAGAGAACTAAGCCTACAATATCCATGCTGCTAGGAGAAGAGGAATACACTCAACCGACAACTCAGATGCATATAAGCAAACCTATTCTAAAATTAATAACTCAGTTAACAATAGGGAGCTGGAAGACAGTCAAGAAAGCTGTCTTATCAGGAGGAGATTACCTCCTATGGTTAACTAATTATACCGAACAATACAAAGTGACTACACACCACAATCGACAGGCGGGAATAGCTTTAGCAAGCTATGAGATACTTGCAGGAGAAGGGTCTCAAGACATAATATCTCCTTTACAAGAGACTCTTAAACACGTCACAACACAAGGGGAGGAAATCTTTAGACTATTCCCCCTCATTCAAGTAGAGGGACCCCAAGGGCCAATTAGAAAACATCACCCTCTTAAGTTTAAATTGGTTATGCACCCCCAGTTGGGAAAGGGATATTTGCTTGTGTTTTTCCACAAAATACTGATCAACCGTGATAGATCCCGGAGCGTTTTATCAAACAGATTAACGCAAGCTGTAAAAAGGACCAAAGACAATCTTCCGATATTATTTCGTAAACGTCATTACAGACTCTGTTAATCCCTTAAAGATAAAGATTGTAAAGGCTCCTCCTAAGAGCTAATTCTTCCTGCTTTTCCATCTTATGTGCTTTTTCATACTTTTCCTGTCATAATAAATGATTACTTTTTACATCCACAAAT